CTGGCAGCCAAGAAGCAGGCGGCTGCAGCTCCAGGAAACCCTTTCCAGACCCAGCGCCCAGGGCGAGGGGAACACACACAACCCGACAGCCCGGCAAAACCACCGGGCTGGCAGCCCACACAGCCACGGACGCTGAGACGTGAGCTCATACCTCTCAGGGAAATCTAAACCTGGCTGGCTGCACGTGTTTCTTCCCTTCGCCTTCCCACAGGGAATCCTTGCAAGCAGTGCCGAGCAAAAGCCAGATCGGCTTAAACACAGGTTCCCAACAAATTCAGTTAGGAAAAACGACCAGCACTTATATGCTTGATAAACCACAGAGGCAGCCTGCTGGAGTTTTGCTCCCCTCTACAAAGCAGAGGGTACGGCTGCCCGAACATGGGATGTGCTGGGTATTGAGCTGATGGCACTGCACGGAGGAAAAACAAAAATAATAAAAAATCTTTGCTGACATGTGTGAAGCATGACCTTGAAACTCCAGGAGACTCCTTTCGGCCTCTGCTGTCCTGCTGCCAGAGCTTCCTCCTCAACACCGACATGCACGCAGCCCCAGGGCTGGCAGAGCTGGAAAAAGATGTGCCAAGGACCGGCAGACAGACCCGACCTCAGCCCACATTCCAAAATGAGACAGCACTGACCGCGATTAAATCAAGCAGACAGGCCCGTGTGAGCTCAGCGCGGGGCCAGACCACGAGATCACGTCAGCTCGAGACTCCGTTGCCTCGGGGATCTTCGCGCCACAGTCTGAGAAAGGAGCAGATTCGCCTGCAAACTCCTACGCTCATGGGAAAAATCTCAAATGGGAAGCTTCGCATCGCTGTTTAACCCACAGCCACACTGAAAGAGCAGGTTGGAGAGCAGGTAAAAGAGTGTCAAGGTGGAGGCACTGCTGGGAAGGAGGGGGTTTCAAGACGGGCTCACATCAGCTCCAAAGTCCCTGCCGGCACATCACAGGCCGCAAGGCATGACCAGTGTCCCTTCCCAGCCTCGGCACCATCACCGCTTCTCTTCTCTGAGATCAGGTTCCACGTGCGCTGCCGCAGAAATGCGGCGTCCTCCACCTCACCTCGCAGCAAACTGCTGCCGCGGATTTCAGTCTTTCGGTAGTGGTCTCGTTTTGCTAAGGGACGACGGGCGCGCGCTGCAAGGGAAGAGGAGTTTGGTAGATCCTCCGAGCTTCAGCAGATCCCCTCGGCTTTGTGGTCGTATGGGTGAGCTGACCTAAGCGGCAGAGGCGAGGGACTTGGGGCACAGAGTCACAGGGCACTGCAACTGGATCACAGGCTTCTTCCCTCGCGACTGAGCCATCCCACTTCTCCCGTCAGCGCTCTCTGCTCCCTCATGGGACAAGAATTCTCCACTGTCCTGTCTGGCTTTTGCACAGCTGCTGCCTCTCACCACCTAGACGTGCAGGGCTTAGCACAACGGGGACAACACAGGCTGGCTTACAGATAAAGCTCAATTTAACACAAAAAGGGATAGAAGAGCATCCCAGTTCTCCTAATGCTGCTCTTCTGGATTTTTAACTAGTCCCCGTAGCCAGCAAGCTCCAGTTCACACCAAGAGTACACTAGAGGGGCTGCGGGAGATCTTGAAGGACAAGTCTCTTGTTTCCTGCAAAATACCAAGTTTCAAATGTCCACAGACATCTGGTCCTTTTGCTCAGCTGAGGCTACCCAGGACATACACCCGTCAGGCTCCACGGAGGTGAATCTCAGCGTGCTCTTCACGGGTGCGAGGGAAGAGTGCCAAGCACTCTCCAAATCGGGGAACTGATGACGGGCAAATCTAGGCACACAAGCACTCGACAACGCTGTCTGGTTATCAGTGCAGCTCAGCACTGTTTTCATTTGCGGAAGGCAGGCCCGCAGGGAGATACTCTAATCATGGCAAACGCTAAACCCTCTCGGCTGTAGCATTCAGGAATTGCCAAGTTCTCTGTCCTCTGTCACCAGTTTTCATTCACCTAGTGACCCCTCCTGTCCCGAGCTGGGAACCTGGAAAAGTAGATGTTAGAAGAGGGGAAAAAAAACGAATAAAAACCACCACAGGAATCCCACAGCATGTAGGAGTCATTTATGTGGGGCAACTTCACAAGCAGCTGCGAGTTAAGCCCACGCTCAGGACTGCGCAGATCCATCTGAGACAGCTCTCGGGAAGCTGAGGGTACAACTGCGTCTTTCCAAAAATCCCATCCCTATTCATTTCCAGGGAGGACTCAGATCCAGCTTTTGCATGCACTGGGACCTACGCTCTTAAGTTCCTGCTGTGCGCTTAAGTGTCACTAATTATCGTTAGTACTTTGTGTTCCTGATGCCGCTCAAGCATTGCCTGGCTTTAGAAGAAGGGCCCAAAGCTGGATCTCTGTGGACTTTGTGATTACAAATACTGCAGCTTCATCGGGTCAAGGAGTAGGCTTTGCCCCCTGGATGCCAGCGAGTCAAGCTGACCTTTGAAAGAGGCAGCAAAAAGGAACAGACTCGTGCAGGGCAAAAAGCAGAGGGCAGAAAGAACAAGGCAGGGAGGAAAAAAGAACTGAAGAAAGCAAAGGTGTGACAACACAAAGACAGAAAATGAGAGAAGGTTGGAAAAAAGAAAAAGAAAAAAAAGAAAAAGAAAAAGAAAAAGAAAAAGAAAAAGAAAAAGAAAAAGAAAAAGAAAAAGAAAAAGAAAAAGAAAAAGAAAAAGAAAAAGAAAAAGAAAAAGAAAAAGAAAAAGAAAAAGAAAAAGAAAAAGAAAAAGAAAAAGAAAAAGAAAAAGAAAAAGAAAAAGAAAAAGAAAAAGAAAAAGAAAAAGAAAAAGAAAAAGAAAAAGAAAAAGAAAAAGAAAAAGAAAAAGAAAAAGAAAAAGAAAAAGAAAAAGAAAAAGAAAAAGAAAAAGAAAAAGAAAAAGAAAAAGAAAAAAGAAAGAGGCAGAGAAGGAATCTGGCTTGTTTAAGGCCAGAAGAGACAATCAGGTGTTTTCTTCCAACCTCCTGTATCACTAAAGGTATTTTAAGACTTCAAATAAAAATCCAAAGTGCAACCAAGAAGCCAAAAATTTTTTAAGAAGTTACCTGATCTGTTTATCAGCCATTTAATTCAAACTTGATCTTGTTAAGAAATGAATCTGTTTCTTCAAGTCGCTCCTTGATTTCTTTTTCAGTCACTTCTTTTTCACTTTTTCACTTCAGTTTCTCCCTGGGAAAGGAGAGAAAGACACAAAGGTGAGACACTCACACTCTTGCTGAAGCTCTGGTCTTGCTGGATGAGGCCAAACCAAGGAACAAGGAACTTGAGGGACCACCTGGGCTCCTCGAAGAGGAGACTGAGCTCCAGAGGGATCCTTATAAATGTGTGTGTGCATATAAATACACAAGCACGTACAGAGGGAAGAGCTGACGGAGCTGTCAGGCTCCAGCCCCACGTGAGGAAGAGCAGCAGCCGGGCAGTGCCCAACACCCAGGCCAGCGGTGCCCGTCACAGCTCGCTCCTCTCCAGCTCCGGGAGCGTCTCGCGCGGCACCATGAGCACCTCCCGACCCCCAGGCACCACCACAAGCCCCGTTCGGCGCTTCCCTCCCACAGCCACGTGCTGTTTCTAAAGGATGGGCTGCAAAATCCCGCTCGCCCGGCAGTTACAATCCTTCCTCTATTTCCCAGCCCGTGCTCAGTCTTGTGCCAACACGGCCTTTTAAGCAGTGCCTCCCCGAGCTGCTGATGTGACTTTGCCGTCCGGACCCCTCCTTTCAGCTCTGTGTCTACCGGCTCCAAGACTGCAGGAAAAGGATCTCTCCGAGACTCCTAATTGCTGCTGCTTAACGAGAGCTGGTCGAAGTAGCCACACAAAGGCATCTGGAGGCCAGAGAAAGTTTCAGAAGTGGCCACAACCTTCAGCTCTCTGGAGGTGTCTTTGTCTCCTCCTCACCTGCAGCCTGGGGATCAGGTGCCCTGTGCTTTCCCCTCGGCAGCACCCAGCCACCCTCCCCTGCCAGAAGCCACCTGGGTGCCGAGCCAGCGACACGGGAGGTACCTTTGCCCTTTGCCTTTGGAATGAAATTTGCCTCTTAATTGCAGATTTCCTAAGACACGCAGAATCTCACATCCAAGAAGGTGGTTTTTGTGCTGACACTAGTGCTCTGGAGGTAGAAACCTGAGGGTCAGAGGTGTTCCTGGGAAGAAAAGGTCCCCAAAAGTGGCTGGTAATGGCGCAAAGAGGTACGGGAGGGAGAAGGGGTTACACAAGTTCAGCCCTGACCCCCTCCTGACACCAAATGCCAAAGACAGGGCAGCACGAAGGCATTTGCACAGTCCCATGCTTGGTCAGCACGAGAAGAAAACTGTGTTTCCTGGAGTCCCCCATTCAGCCAAAGCCACGAGGAACCAGTGCAGGGAGCTCCTCTCTTAACCACGGCACACAGACCTCACCCGCTACCTCACGCTCCTTCCTTCCGCTCCTTCCTTCCGCGAGCCCTCTTCAGACCCTTTCCCTGACCTCGGCTAACTGAGCAGACCTGAAAAAAAATCACCAGAAAAAGCCTGCACTTCCCGAGGAAAAAAAAAAAAATAAAATCACACTTATCACTGTGTGTGCTTTCACGTTTCTGTCCACCAGAGCAGCTTGTCTCGGGTAATCTAATTCTCTCTCCATTAAATGGATATTAAATACAAAATATAAAAATATAGGGAGACCAGTTGCTGAAAACCTGTAACCCCAGCATAAACAAGCCCCAAACCATAAGGTCTATACCACCAACAGGTTATTTATGTTTATTGAGGTAGCAGCTCTGACAAAATAGACGCACCGAGAGGTGCCTTGGCCCCGTTCTGGGCACCCGTCACAGAGAAGACAGCAAGGCTGCCAAGGTCCACCAGCCAAAAGAATGAGAGACCGAGGTGGATACACGGACGTATCACAGGGCTGCTCCTTACCTGCTGACACAAGCAGGGTGATGGGAGAAGACACTACTGCACCCAGAGGGACTCACAACCGCTGGGTTTAGCTCTATCCTCCCTTTTTTTCTTTTTATTTTCCTTTCGACTTCAGCTCTCCACCTGCCTGGTAACTGCAGAGCCCTCCGCCGCTGCTTCTCACCATGGAAAGGATGCTCCTGCTGCAGCTGCACAGCAAAAAGGGGTAAAACCCCCAATCTTCCTGGGTTTAAAACCGGGCAAAGTTACAAGTTTCCTTTGTGCCAGCTGTCTGGCCACTAAATGCCGGGACTAAGATCATCTGCCCTGACAAAAGCCACTCAACTCGCGGGCGAGCGAGGGGAAGCAAACGACGTGATCATTTGACAGCAGACACCAGCGCTTGATAACTGTTTGTACAGCACCTGGCCCGGCAGAGGCCTGGATGTGCGCAGCCGGGGGATTTTAATGCATTAAGGGATTTTAATGCACCGAAGCGGAAAGCTTATTTGAGCCCTGTTTGTTTAACCAGAGCCCCAGCGAGTGACCATTTGCAAAACAAACCCAAAGTCGCTGCAAACTCTATCCGAGCGCTTTGCTGTCACCTACAGAACTCCCTGAGCCCCTCATAAGATAGGGAATGATGAAGCTTCCAGCACCCTGGCAGGGAATTCCTGGAGAAAGCGGCAACCAAAAGGGTGCTGATGGCTCAGAAAGTCTTTGCCTGGTTAAACGTCACGGCCGGGCATTTGACGGTTCTGCTGGAACTGCGAACGTGCACGGCAGGAAGAGCAGAGGAGCCGAGAGGGAACTGGGAATAAGCGGGTAAAGGCAACAAGACCTGCGAGAGACCCACCTCAAAGCCAAAGAGGTTGAGCAGCTCTCCTGGAAGGAGGGTCCTAAATTGAGCATCCCGTAATTAAAGAGAGCGAGAGCTGCACAGGTGGTTAATTACGTGGTGGTTGCTCCTTCCTAGAGTGCCCTTACCACAGCCAGGCACAGATTAATGCCCATTACTCGCACGCCGGGACGCCCCTTCTGCACTTACTAAAACGATCAAGCAAATTAGTTGGAGCGCTGCACGCACCGCGGCACAGAGAATCGCCTCCGAGCCAGGTGGAACAGAAGTACCAACAGCTCAAAGCTCACATGTCGACAGCCCAGGAGCCTCCTCGACCCAGCCTCTCCCTTGTCACAGCTCCAGAGAGCGCCAGAGCAGCCAGACCGGGGGGAACCACGGCACAAATCTAGCCAGCTTTGGACTTATCTGGTCCTCACAGCCTCAGCCAGCAGGAAAACGGTGCTATTTTGCCCCTCCTGCCTTGCCACACACACCCAGCCACCTTGGTTGCCCAGAGGGTCAGGTTTTTCTCCAGGATGGCCAACCTTGGCGTGCGGCAGACCTGTAGCACTCCTGACCAGCCTGGGCCATGGGGCTGGACTCTTAACCTTCGGTTCTTGCCTTATCACCTGAAGGAAAAGCACTCAAAAAAGAGAGTCCCCGCCCAGCCTGGGGTGCCGGAGGGGAACACGCGGTCTCACCACACGTGCCGCCGGTGAGCTTGGATGAAGATACAGGCACCCGAGAAGATGAGACATCATGGGAGAAGGAATAGTTTACCCACACCCCATGGCACCACCCTACGGCTGTTGGTTCCACCTCTACCCCAGATGCCACAGCTCGGCCCCCAGCTTGATTCTGCGGGCTCAGCACCCTCCTCGTTCTGCTCTCCCTCCGCCAGGGCCACATTTCTGGCATCTTCCAAGCCAGCAGCCACCTCCCAGCCCACCAGTCCCCCCAGGCCTGCCAGCACCCCCCACAAAGGCCGGCCCCACTCGACAGCCGAGTGATTTATCCGAGCGCGCGCAGGCTCGACGGAAGACCTTGAGCCGACGTCAGCTGGCACCGGGGCTGAAAGAAGCAATCCTGCCCTCCCTCTGCACCCAAAGCGTTCCCATCTCTGCTTTCGTGCCAGCACAAACATTTGTGCAGAGCGGTCAGGCAGGGACGAGACAGAGCGGGAGGCCAGCACATGCTGGAGCTGTCACTGAGAGCAAACACTCAGACCACAACCTTGACTTGAGAATGAACAGCAGAAGGGGAAGACAGGACTCCTTTCCACATATTTCCATTTGCCTTGAGAGCGGATGGACTCAGTGCCCCAGCCGGAGAAGCCGACACCAAGAGGCAGGGCTCAAAGGGGGAGAGGACGGAGCAAAGCTGTGCCAGCACCCACCGTGTCAAGAGGACCCCTTGCAGTCAGAGAAGGGGCAGAGAAATAAATCAATCAGCAGCTGTGGGAGGAGGAAGCCCCAGGATCAGCACAGAGCGCAAACACCAGGTTTTGCTGCCGGCTGAAGCAACGATAAGGTTTAAGGAGGGCAAAGCGAACTGCAAACATTTCCTGAGAGAGGCTGCTCTCCAGACGAGTCTCACTTAAGGAGAAGTCGATTTGGCTCTCGCCTGCTCAGGACATTTCAGGATAGAGGAAATCTCTGCTGCTCGTTTGCCTTTAGGCTCTCTAAAGCTGGGACTGCCACAAATTTCCTCACAGCACCAGGGCCAGGTATGAATCCTCAGTAAAACACGTCTGCCACCGCAGACCATCACCACAATACGCAACCTCCCCTGCCTCGCCGGTCAGCGGCCGACCGTCCCTGTGCAACGCTGGGCTTTGAAAGCACCAAGCCCAGGGCAGTTCCCCCTGTTGTCTCAGGTGGAGGAAAAAAAAAGAAAGAAAAAAGGACAAAGTCCCCACCAGGGAGGCGGCTGC